ATATGCTAATCCAGGCACTGGTTTCAACACTACACTTTGTAAGACCCAGTAGGGCAGCACAAGTATTCCTGTTTTTCATCTTTATCAAGGCTGTACATTTGGCCTCAAGTTCATCTCATTTAAAATAGAGAGAATAAAACCCTCCAAATAAATGGCATGGAACAAATGAGCCTTCATCCAGTCACTCCTCCAATATTCATTAAAAAATCACCAGGGATGGTCAATCCAGCACAGCTTTAATGGAATTGTTGCAATTCTTTATTTATAACTGAAGCATTGCTTTGCATCTAATTTGAATTTGCCTAGCCTCACACTTAAAACTTTGCATCTTATTATATCTTGGTAGTTAGGCTGAAGGAGACTGACCTAAAATCTTGTCTCTTGAGTAAAGACTTGTAGTTTGTGATTTTTCAGATCTTCTAATTCACTTTGATATACCAAATAGACTGAGGTTCTTAGAATTTTTCACCATGAGACATCCATTTTCAGAATTTTAATCATTCTCATATTTCCCCGAATGTCAGAGAAAGTGGAAAGATGGGTTTGGGAAAGACAAGTAGAGAATACTAGTAGCTTCAGTTTGTAATATCTTTGTCTGAAAAGCATATTAAGTAAGCATGCCAAAAGCGTTTTTTATACAAGTAGAGCTTTTGAAATATCTGTTCACTAAGGAACTGCATAGCTTTGTCTCCTGGAATCTGACTAGAGCTCTTTCAAATTTCACATACAAGTCTGAGGCATTATTCTGTGTGGTATTTGCTAAAAATCACAGACAAGCAAAACTACTACCTAAATTTCTGGAAAAAGAGGTGTTGAGGTACAGCAAAGGGAACCTGCTCACTGTGCACAATGACACACGCTATTGATAGATATTACTTCTACAAGGCTGCTGGAGGGATTTGTGTACCGACAATGTCGCCCACCAGTCAAAGTAGCTCTTTTTACTGTCTTGTAGCAGACAGATATTGATGCAACCACTATGTGACCAGAAGACATAGACTCCTGTTTGGATTGACACTCTAATAAGTGCCTTGTTGGCATGGTTGAGTTCTTATTTCTTATATAAACCTAGAGGTAGTCTACCAGAACCAATGAATCTGGAAAGACATTTTTCAAGTCAGCTTCTGGTCCTTGGAGAGCCAGAAACTTGACCTTTGACAGATGGTCAAGAGGAATTGATAGAACTGGGTACCACATGTACCCAGTTCTTCAGAGAAGATTTGTAATGCGTAGCTATGCTGAAGAAGTTACAATCAATATTGACACATCCAGGAGACACTGAAACACATGGGTAAGTAAGGGCAAAGTAAGATGGATATGTGTGATAAACACATAGTGTTCATCGTGCTTCTGTAATGAACATAAGTACGGCAAAGGAATTATGCTTAGAAAAGCTCTGCAGGCCTTCCTGTTTTTACACATAATGCCCAGAGTTCAAGAGAGAATCAACTCCTTGAAGAGATTATTTTTTGTTTTATTTTATTAATGAATTTATAGTAAACTCCTCAAACAGTTATTAGCACTAGGTGTTTCAGAAACACAGGAATCTCAAAACAGGATTCATTCCAGACCTTTTATTGACAGAATAAGGCCAAGATTTTGGGTATGCCTACTTCTGTTTCCTTGAGCCTCAACTCAAATTGGTAATGGGATAACACAAATAAATATCACCTCATCTCTTGTGATTCTTTGCAGGAAGCGCAGCTTGAAGGTCCATCTCCATCCCATGTGCCATGTTCATGCTCAATGACACGCAAATGAAGCCCACAGTATTCCTGCTCACAGGCATCCCTGGACAGGAGGCCATAAACCTCTGGATCTCTATCCTCTTCTTTTGCATGTATGTTATTTCCGTGATGGGAAATTCTGTCATCCTGTTCATTATAAAAACAGATCTGAGCCTCCATGAGCCCATGTATGTCTTTCTTTCCATGCTGGCTCTCACAGACCTCTGCTTATCCATCTCCACCATGCCTACCATCCTGGGTATATTCTGGTTTAACTCCAGGGAGATCAGCATCAATGCCTGCTTGCTCCAGCTGTTCTTCATCCACTCACTCTCTTTCATTGAGTCCTCTGTGCTTTTGTCAATGGCCTTTGACCGCTATGTTGCCATCTGTAACCCACTGCGGTATGCCTCTGTCTTAACCACCCCTAGAATAGTAAGAATGGGGCTAGTGTTCACCATACGAGGTATGGGCCTAATATTTCCACTCCCCTTCCTCCTTAAGAGGTTTCAGTATTGCCGAGACAACGTCCTATCTCATTCCTACTGCCTACACCAGGATGTCATGAAGCTGGCCTGCTCTGATATCACAGTCAACAGCATCTATGGCTTATTTGTTATCATCTCTACCGTTGGCTTGGACTCACTTCTCATTCTGCTCTCATATGTGATGATCCTCAGAACTGTGCTGAGCATTGCCTCCCGGGAGGAACGTTTCAAGGCTCTCAACACCTGTGTGTCCCATGTCTGTGCTGTTCTGCTGTTCTACACGCCTATGATCGGCTTGTCCATGATACATCGATTCGGGGGGAGCTCTTCTCCCCTGGTACAGATTCTCATGGGTTATGTCTACATGTTGGTCCCACCCCTGATGAACCCCATTGTCTACAGCATGAAAACCAAGCAGATACGAGCCTGCATTACCAGGGTACTCTCGAGGTGACAAGACCCATTTGCCTGCTCTGCCCCACCTCTGTCCCTGATGCAGCTAGGAAATACCGACTGTTTTACTTACAAGACAAGACAGCTTGTAAGGCTAACTTTGCCCCAGCTAACTCAGATCTCATCTGTACATGCAATAAAGAGAAAGCTTGAAGGGTTTTT